TTTTAGCCACAGGGGTTTCTTGCGCAAGAAACCCCTGTTTCCCATCTACACTGCCCTCTTGTGCAAGAGGGCTTATTCCTTGTGGGAAGAGGAATAACTCTCGCACAAGAAGCCCTCTGGTCTGACGCTTTACTGTAAATGTACTTGCTCAAGAATGTGCGTGCAGTGTAGACGCTCCGCAAGCTTTTGCGCAAGAACGGCCGTTCTTGTGGAAAGAGCCTGTAGTGTAGATGTAGCCCGTCACAAGCACCTTAAAGACTAATGACACTTATAGATGGGATCATGAGCTCTTGAGAGCACAGCCCACTTCTTCAGATGACCGGCTCATAGTAGCTTATACTGACAAGCCTAATAAGACCAACAATGGGACTGCTTTTACTCTGATTCGCATTCATTCTTCTAGCTGGTCCATCTACCTCTGGTATCTTTGAATTTGCTCCCAACTCTTTTTTTTTTTTTTGGTATATATAATTCTTTGTGCCATTATACCTTGCATCTCATATTCACCAATTAATCTTCCTGCTATAATTACAGCTCCACTTGCAGCAGCACGGGCTGCCAGGTGGGAGCTGGTCCACAAGGGGAGTCGGTTTCAAGAGCAGCTCCCCACTCAGCCTGGCTGGCTGTGGCCCTGTGCTGCTGCTTCTGATAAAGAGGCAGCAAAGCAGGGTGGCAGCAGCCCCTGTCGGGGGTGGGGGAGGGGAGGTCTGAGCTCCCAACCCAGCACAAGCCAGAACTGAGGCCCCATCCCTACTCCCCCCCCCCCCCCTTTATGGCTGGTGACAAGTGCTTTGTTCCAGCACCTCTGGTGGCAACCCCTCAAACCATGAGTTGCCAGGTGGTACGGCTCTATGTTGGGGTGTCTTCCTTTCTGCACCCCACCTCCAACGGGGGTCCAGGGTGTTGCTGCAGATACCGGGCAGCTGCTTCCTTCCCCAGCCTGCTGCCACATGGTCCCCCGGGCACTGCACGTCCCCCAGCGCCTCTCCCGACAGGCAGCGAAACGGGGCCGGACTTGCCTTCAAATAGCGGACAGGACCTATGGCTTTGGCCTTCCCTCTGGCCTGCAGCAGACCCAGCGCAACTGTCCAGAGCAGCTGGAAGAGGCAATCCCCTCGCTGTCCACATAAGCACAATCGCCTCCGCCTCGTATGAAGAGCCTGTCGCAGCAACGAACAAATCAAGAGCATCAGCACTACTTGCACGCACAGCGCATCGGCCCCTATTTGGCCAAGCAAGCCAGGCCCCGCGGCTCCGGGCACTGGAGTTTATTTCTGTGACAGCTTACGTAAGAGGCAGGGTGGCCAGGTGGTTAAAAGCCCTCACCTTGGACTTGGCACATCTGCATTCAAGTCCTGGCTGTGCTCCTGGCCTCCTGGGTGACATTGGGCTGGTGGTGCTGTGCCTCAGTTTCCCCCTCTTCATCAGAACACTGCAGGTCCTGAGCCACATGGCACAGAACGCCCAGGGACCAGGGCTCACAGTAATGTGAGTTACCATATAGGGTGGTGGCTTCACTTTGTACCAGCTGGTGCTTGTACCAGGGACGTGACCCAACACTTAGTGAATCAAAGGAAAAGGGACTCACGAGGAGTTGAATTTGGTGCCATTGGACCATTCCCAGGACTGGCCAGGGCTCTTCCATAGGCCGATCCAGTGATCGTAGGATTCTCTATTGCGCTTCATGAACTCCTGTTACATAAAGCAAATGGATCTGAGCTCACCACGGTCTGTGCTGGCTTCTCTGTGCTGCCACTCTCAGGGTGACCTGTCTAGGGTGGGAATTCTCCACCCGCAGCTCCGATCCAGTGACCCCTCTTCCCCCCGCCCATCCTCAGAGCCAATGCTCTTCCCTGCTCTGATCAGCAGCAGGTTGTGCGGGGGTAACTCCAGCCCTGCACTAAGCCTGACCCTCTGCTGGGGAAACTCCATCAACTTCTGTCATGAGATCTTCCCCCCCAATCCCGGGGAGCTATGGCAAATTTTCACTTGCCCCTCTTCCCTGCTCTGATCAGCAGCAGGTTGTGCGGGGGTAACTCCAGCCCTGCACTAAGCCTGACCCTCTGCTGGGGAAACTCCATCAGCTTTGTCATGAGATCTCACTGCCCCCTGCGGAGCTATGGCCAATTTTCACTTGCCTTGTGGTCAGTGTTCCCTGTGAGCTGGCACTTGTGCAGATGCTCAGGGGAGATTCCAGCACCGCCCAGCTGATTAGCAGAGCACCCACAGCTGGGATTGTGTTTCTACTAGTGGTGCACATTCACACGTGCCTTGGTGCACAGAACAAAATTTATTCTGCACATCGACCGTAAAAATTAGAGAAAACTTTGGCTGTGGTATTTATAATGCTTCTGTTTCTCTCTCTCACCAGTTCCTGGGTGCTGTCAATCCCCACCAGGGAGGCATTCAGGGCAGAGCAGTTGCTCTGGCTGTCGGTCCAGTTCCCTTCACCCTTGGAGAAATAGTAACACTTCCCCTGGTATCCGACCCAGCTGTTGGGGCAGATGGCCCCTGAGCAGGCAGCACCAGCTGGGCAGGGCTCACTTGTCTTTCCTGAAAATTAAAAAGCAGCAGGGTGAGAGATTTGCCCTATTCTCTCTCTGTAGCCAAGGGAACAAGCCTCCAGTGACCCCACATCAGATCCCTCCACTCAACATTGTGGAAAGCTGGGTTTGTGCTTGAACTGGACTTGATAAGCTCTCGAGGTCCCTTCGGATGCGTCCAGACAGCACCCTTAATTTGAAACCAGCCACCCAATTGGCACTACAGAAATTGCATAGCTTATTTTGAGTCTATTTTGACACGTCCCTTAACCCTCGTGGAACGAAGGTTGCTGGGATGCTGAAATAGCGTGACCATTATTTCGAGATAACGGGTGCATTTAAAAGACACGGCGTTTCTATTTCCAGATTATCCCAAAATAGTCCCACTGCCTGTACCCTTCCAGTTCTAGAGTCTAGTACTCTATCAGCCAGCCACGGAGACCATGCGAAGAGCCACCAGGTGGTGTGGTTACCTCTGCAACAGCAGGGGAGATGCTCAGGTTAGAAAAGTGGCCAGCAGCCGTGGTCTTTTGGAACAGCCCCTTTACAGGCCCAAGAAGATCGGATCCGTTTGTTAATCCGTGCCAATAGCCCCGGACATGTAGCCGGAGCCACGGGTGGCAAACACCCATCGGTGTGCCATGCCTGCCTTGCATTTAGCACCGATATGAGGTGAATTTGTGAAAAACGTCACTACATTGGAGTAACGACGTCTCCCGGGGTGTAAAAAAATCCACCCCCCTGAGCAATGTTACCACCTCCCGCGTAGGCAGAGTTATGTTGGCGCATAGAGCCACCCTCTCTGGAGGTGGGGGGTGGCTTTAATACGCTCTCCTATCAGCTTCATTAACGTGCAAGGGCCGTGCAGCGGTGCCGATGCAGTGTTTTAAGTGCAGACTTGCTCTACGGCTCACTGGAAATGCAGCTAGAAACCCTGAGATCCTTATCCTATCGGCACTGGGAAAAGAGCCAGCTAACATCATGGCCTGTCATGCACCCCCCCATCCTCTCTCCTCCTTCCAATTTTGCATGTGCTGAAAATCACATCGTTCGCTTGGCTCATGGGGCAAAGGGAACTGATTATGCAAGGAACAGACTTGGGGTGACGCCAGGTTCAAAGGTTAACGCAGCACCCCAAGTTATTCAGGTTGCTCCCCACGCTCCCTCTTCCCCACGTCTCCCTCCTGGCTGCCCAGCTCCGTATGGGGCCAAACGCCTCCTTGCCCTGCCCCTCGTGCAGTCCTGGCACCCAGATCAATGCGGGGGACCCACACAACGGTTCTGATGCTAGTCAGGTTTGCACTCGCTTTGGTGGCTGTAGGCTGCCTCAGCCTGTGGCATCTCCCTCTCTCTGCACCTCCACACTCATGTAGTGTAGATGCCTGTTTCCGGCCAGCACAGTGCTCTGGGATACTAGCCACGTGCAGTGCAGGGACGTTGATGTCACTGGAGGAGAGGGCTTGCCGGGCTGATGAGGGCAAGGAGCTGACAGCCGGGCACAGGTCTGGCTCCCTCCCAGCGGAGGTAGGGGGGTGACCCAGTGACTCACAGCCCTGGGTAGCCAGGCATGATTGGGCAACACACAGAGTGAGCTGACAGCAGGAGGGAGCTGGTCGCTGAGCGGAGCGGGGCAGACCCCACAGAAAAGCCCAGAGTTCAGCAGAGTCTGATGTGAGAGCTGAAGCAGGAGTGGGGGGAGAAGTCCGGTGGAACTGTGATGTTTCCAGCACCAAGTGTGCGGCGCAGAGTTGGAGTCAGTGCCGGCACCTTACTTACGTGACTGAGCCGTGACGGTGAAGATGATAATGAGGGTGAGGCTGAAGAGGACGAGGACGCACAGCGAGCCACAGAGAACCGGGTCACATATCTGTGTTCCAGCCAGCAAACCTGGAACAGAACAAGCCACCAATGCTCTCGTGGGACAAACCCGGCATGGATTGGCGGCAACAGGCGAAGCCGGTTTAAATAAAAGGGCGGGAGGATATTTTCAAAAAAGATATTTTCACCTCAAAAAAGATATTTTGGCCTTGGAAAGGGTTCAGAAAAGGGCGACTAAAATGATTAGGGGTTTGGAACGGGTCCCATATGAGGAGAGGTTAAAGCGACTGGGACTTTTCAGTTTAGAAAAGAGGAGACTGAGGGGGGATATGATAGAGGTCTATAAAATCATGAGTGGTGTGGAGAGGGCTGATAAAGAAAAGTTATTTATTAGTTCCCTAAATAGAAGAACTAGAGGACACCAAATGAAATTAATGGGTAGCAGGTTTAAAACGAATAAAAGAAAGTTCTTCTTCACACAGCGTGTAGTCAACCTGTGGAACTCCTTGCCAGAGGAGGCTGTGAAGGCTAGGACTATAATAGAGTTTAAAGAGAAGCTAGATAATTTCATGGAGGTTAGGTCCATAAAAGGCTATTAGCCAGGGGATAAAATGGTGTCCTTGGCCTCTGTTTGTCAGAGGCTGGAGAGAGATGGCAGGAGACAAATCGCTTGATCATTGTCTTCGGTCCACCCTCTCTGGGGCACCTGGTGCTGGCCACTGTCGGCAGACAGGCTACTGGGCTAGAAGGACCTTTGGTCTGACCCAGTACGGCCGTTCTTATGTTCTTATGTTCTTATGATATTTTGCAAGGAGAGAGAGGGAGAGGGAGAGAGCAGGGGGTGAATCTTTTCATTTCAAATAGAGGAAAAGCCCTTTCCCCTTTCAAAAACAAAACAACACAATTGGGGGTTTCATTTTGAGATTTCAAAGTGCTCCCTCCAAACGGTTTCCAGGGAACGTGTGTATTTAAAAAGGGAGAGGCTGTGGGGGGAGAGGGAGCAGAGACCCTCACATTTTAAACCAAAACCTGATTCATTTCCTACTTCCGACAGAAAACCCCCTCGGAGCGATAACTTGCCCGTTACCATGACAACCGGCCTGGTTTCCAGTTGGACCCCTGCCCACGTTGAAGCGAAACAAGGGGAGGAGAAACCTCAGTCGTGTTCAAAAAGCCTTTCCCCCACCCACAGGATGGGGATGGAAGTGTGACCAGCCTGTCTGGCCCGAGGGAGGACGTTAGGTGACTAGACAAGGACTGAAGCAGGTAGAGAGACAGGGTATGTCTACACTAGCCCCATAGTTCGATCTAGGGAGGCTAACGGGGGCGACCGAAATTGCAAATGAAATGTGGGATTTAAATATCCCCAATTTTAGAAATCGACTAGCCCGAAGTAACTGCCCGCGTCTATACTCGGCAGTGAAACGGGATTCCAAATTGAAGCCCTAAATCGAATTAGCTGGTAAACCTCATTGCAGGAGGAATAACAGCTAATTCGATTTAGGGCTTTAATTCGGAATCCCGTTTCACTGCCGCGTGTAGACGCGGGCAGTTACTTCGGGCTAGTCGATTTCTAAAATGGCGACCGGCCAGGAACATGCTAATGAAGCGTGGGATATTTAAATCCCGTGCTTCATTTGCAATTTCAGTCGCCCTCATTAGCCTCCCTAGATTGAACTGGGGGCTAGTGTAGACATACCCACAGAGCTAAAGGCTAAAGGCCGTGGCTGGTTGAAGTGTCTTTTCCACGGAGCAGCCACCAGAGGCGATAAAGGCCCTTGCGGTGTGAGCGCCACTTGGGCCGTGTGAGAAGGGCCCAGCGAGGCCGCTAGCGCTGTACCTGCAACACCCGTCGGGCGTCTCCTTCCGCTCTGTGCTGGGATGGACACAACATGAGTCTCCCCATTTTGTTCCCTTTGGGTTTCCTTGGAGTCCGGGAGTGGATCCGGCTGCATCCCCTCATCAGGATGTGACACATTTGCCATCTCTTCTCTCTCCGACAGACGTGTGGGCTCCGAAAGTGGAGACATGGTCACTTGAACCCCCTTTCTGCAGCCAGCAATCACTACGGCCTGTTCCCACTGGGTCTGGCAGGGCCCTTCCAAAGGGCAGTTTCAAACCAGCTCCCTCAGTTACGGCTCAGGCGCGGTTTGGCTACGTGGGGTGATCTGGGAACCCCCCTTTGCAATATCCTTTGCTGGGGAGTTTTGCCAAAATACCGACCAGCCAGGCTGGGTCTGAGCAGGTTTCAAAGGAGCTGTTCCAAAGCTCTCTTGGTTGCTGCTTTTATCCCTCCCAAGCCTCAGCAGGCACCGACCAAACCAGCTCCGGGTGCTGAATTATCCTGACTCCGCGTCTCTTCCCTGGCGCCCAGCAGGGACTGGCCAGGCAGGCTCCTGTGGAGAGAATTGCTAAGTCACTTGGGCTGGCTGGTGTCGCCGGTTTATCTGCCCATTCCCAGCCCTGCACAGCCGGGGCAGGTGGAGCCGACAAAGCTGGCCAACTCCAGCCAGCACCAGCTGCTCCCCTAGGAGGGGCGGGATAACCTGCCCCAAGGATCAATTCCTCCTTCACCCCCATTGGTTAGAAGCTGGGGCTTGTGCCTTGCCATAGGAGGGCTTAGAGTCCTTCCATCTCCAGGTTATTCCATGATACTGATAGTTATAATGGTCCCATCATCCCTATAAATGCCAGGAGCTGGGCACGAGTCAGAAAAAATTGACCAATGATTTCTTTGGGCAGGGAGTTCCACAGGTTGTGGTGCCTGGTGTAAGAGCCTAGCCCTCGTCATCAGATTGGGATTTGCTGTCTTTTTTAAGTGAGGGAGGGGCATGGTTCTGACCTGGCCTTTGAAAGCAGCTGCAGAACGACATTAGCCCCCAAGGAAAAATGTTATTTCAATCAACCGATCAGTAACAGGCAGCTAAACAAACAGCCCCCCCTCTCACAGCTCTTCGAGGGCAATGTGTCTCAACCAGTGGTACAGCACCCTTAGGCTATGTCTACGCTGCCGGGTTCTTGGGCAAGAATGGCCGTTCTTCCGCAGCGCGTCCACACTGCCAGCTCGCTCTTGCGCAAGAAGATTTACAGTAAAGCGTGGGAGAAGAGGGCTTCTTGCGCCAGAGCTACGCTCTTTTCTAACAGGTGTAAGCTCTCTTGTGCAAGAGGGCAGTGTGGACGCACGGCAGGGGTTTCTTGCACGAGAAAGCCCTATGGCGAAAACGGCCCTCACAGCTTTCTTGCACAAGCGAGCGTCCACACGGCCATGGAACTCTTGCGCAAAAGCACACGGCCGTGTGGACGTGTTCTTAGCCGCCAGTGTAGACATAGCCTCTGAGTACTAGAGAGAAGTCTGGGGTGGAGGGGGTGTGTTAACAAAACTGACATTTGGAGAAAATGGAATTTGTGTTTTAAGTTTTGCAGTGCTTTATCATTTTCATACTTTTTACACCCAAAAATGTCATCTCCCACCCAGCTACAATTAAGGGGTTTAAACAAATGTGTTGCAAGGGTAGAAAAAAATTGTGTGTGTGTCTGAAAACTGTAGATACTAGGGGTACTTTTAAAAAGGGGGGGCACTTTATAAAAAAAAGTTGAGAAACACTAGGCTAGGGCATGCACAGCTACAGGCTAGGGCAGGTAACAGCTACTCCGTACCCCTATTTGGTGCCATAACGTACTACAGGGGCAGGAACGTGGGAGCCAGAAGTTGCAGAAGTTTCAATAGGGAGAGTCTCCAATGTGCACAGTGGGACTTGGGTTCCCTCCTGCCTGGCCCCTTGTACCATCTCTGTCCCTTGCCCGGGGGTGTGAAATGCCCCTGGGTTAGAATTCTCCCCTTGCTGCCTCACACCTGCCTCCCCACCAGCCCTCTGGCAGCTACACCGGCTTAGCCCGTGCCAGTGAGTCGCTAGGGCACGTCTACACTGCGCTGCCAGCCTGGCGCTGCGGGACCCAGACTCAGCACAGACACATGCGCACCGAGACGTGCCCCCGCTCACTGCGGCCAGCCCGGGGCACCATCTTGCCCGTGGGAGTCACCCTGCGACCGGCCCCTCGTAGCCCCCCAGGGCCAATGCGTGGGAGTGAAACCGGATCCGTAAGACAAAGCCGGGGGAGCCAGCCCAGACCCTCCCCAGGCAATGCCCCTCTGCACTTACAGCTCTTCTCACCTGGGCAGCAGCGACAGGTTAATTCCAGCCCAGCCCCGGAGCGCGGTTCTGTCTGCCACCCCGTGCAGGAGGGATTGTAGCAACTGCCCCAGATAGCGGCTCCTCCTCCTGCTCTAGCCTCGGATCCGTAAGACAAAGCCGGGGGAGCCAGCCCAGACCCTCCCCAGGCAATGCCCCTCTGCACTTACAGCTCTTCTCACCTGGGCAGCAGCGACAGGTTAATTCCAGCCCAGCCCCGGAGCGCGGTTCTGTCTGCCACCCCGTGCAGGAGGGATTGTAGCAACTGCCCCAGATAGCGGCTCCTCCTCCTGCTCTAGCCTCCCCAACAGCCCGTCATTTCCACCGCCCACCCTAAGCATACGAGCGCCCGAGGCCGGGGTGTCCCTGGGATCAGAGCCAACAGGCTCTGTGGGGCCGGTGCCAGCAGCCTGCTCTGCAGATCTGCTCCCAGTAGTAGTTACTGACAGACGAGTGCGTCGGTTTTGGCTTAGCCCAGTTTTTGCTACCCATCCAGGTACAAGTGGTCCATGGGAAACTTTTTGCAACCTCTGGTCACGGGGAGAGGGAGGCGTGGATCCACACGTACGGGGTTCACTTCGGATAGGGTTCATTGGGACACTAGGGCTATGTCTAGACTGCAAGCCTCTTTCGAAAGAGGCTCTTTTGAAAGATACTTTCGAAAGAGCCTCTTTCGAAAGAGAGCGTCTAGACTGCACGCGGAACTTTCGAAAGAGCAAGCCGCTTTTCCGAAAGAAAGCACCCAGTGAGTCTGGATGCTCTCTTTCGAAGAAGCCCTATTTACATTCAAGAACGCCTTCTTTCGAAAGAAGCACTTTCGAAAGAAGGCGTTCTTCCTCGTGAAATGAGGTTTACCGCCGTCGAAAGAAAAGCCGCGTTCTTTTGATTTAATTTCGAAAGAACGCGGCTGCAGTCTAGACGCAGGTGAAGTTTTTTCGGAAAAAGGCTACTTTTCCCGAAAAAACCCCTGAGTCTGGACACAGCCAAGGAGAACTAATC